AGAAGCAAAGGAATATATTCGAAATCATAAATTTACCTCATTATTTTGAGAAAAAAAGCAGATGAAATAGTGACTTTGGGGGCTTTCATTGTGGAAAGCTTGTAGAGAGGAAGGTGACGAAATGGCTGAACGTAAGCTTGGACTGAAGAAACAACAGAGCAAATGGCAGTGGTGGGAAGTCTTAGACAGAGAGAATAAAGGTAGGTGTAAAGTCCTGAAAAGGTGGAAACAGTCAAAATCCTCAAATATTAACATAGGAAAAAGTTAGAAAGAAGTAGTCAATATAGACCACCAACTTATTAAAATGACTTCTTTCTGTTCTGAAGCAGCTGGGCTGAAGTATCCTGATCCTGACAGAGCTGATGCATCCAGGAGACCCACTCTTCAATCACCTGTCAAATTGCTAGACTTTGCCCAAAAATCCAGATATACCTGGGCAGGGATGATCCCCAGTCACTACCACTGAATTCCTCTGAACCTGAGCCCTGTCTGCTCCTGAAGTAGGGGTGAGACAGTGTCTTGAGACCCTGAGCAGCTGAAGATATGCAACCTATTCTATTTATTCCTAGTCCCAGATGCTTTCTAGGCATGCAGCTAGGTTTGCATTCATAAGGCAACAAGACCTCAGAATATGTTTGGTTGTTAGTGGTGTCATGTCCCCTCATGATTAACTAAAAATTTATTTTGCTTTGATGTAACAGGATGTCTACAGAAGACTCTTACCCATTCCCTTTTAGCACTTAGATGACAGAAATATGTGGAAGAATGTCTTATTGGGTGCCCTTGTCAGATTGCTGAAGGGACCTTGCAGTTAAAGGTGAAACCTTCTGATAGAAGCGGAGTCACTGAAGGAGGTGAACTGAGGGAGGAACAGAGACGTGGACAAGAGTGAGAAAAGTGGTAATCCAGACCTCTCTTGAACTTCGCACTTGCCAAGAAGGCTGGGGAAAAGAAAGTCAGAATTTTTCTCTTGATTACTGCACAGTGTCACAGCCCTGTGGCTACTGTAAGGAGACGACTTTTCTACACTTATTGTCCCAGTTATACATTTCACAGAGTAGTCTACTTAGTAAAAAGGAAAAATAAACAGAGATAACACATACAAAACCATTTTTATTATTGTTATAGTTCGCTGTTTAATGCAATGCTTTAGCTAGGAATACAACTCGGCAGACGTACATACACGTATATTGCATGTAACTTTAGTTGTGTCTTCAAGATATTTCAAACCCTTATCATCTCAATCCTTCATGAGTTGTTCTGGAGAAGCACCTTCTTCCTTCATCCTGCATAATGCATTTGAATGTTGCTGAATAACACAGGCGGTTTTCTTCCAAATGGAGCACAACATTACATCCAAATTCCCAGTTAATATGACTTTATCAACCTTTGCTTTCACTGCATGAATGTTGTGTATAATATGTATAGATCTATACAGCATATATAAATATATATCTATAATGTATATACAATCAAGTGGGTCAGCTTTACACAGCCAACCATAAACTTGTGCTTATCTTATTTATATGAGATCAAATGTACAGAATCAAGAATTTGACCATTCCCCAACTTGTAAGATCTTCAGTTCCCAGTTTTACCATATGATTTTGGATATCACATACATGTAATGCATTCCCTTCTTTCTTGCAGTAGTATTTTCTTTTGAAGAAAAGAATGCAGTTATTTTTTTTATATAAATGAATAACAGTTTTTCCATAACCTCAAGTTAAAAAACAGTCTTAAGAAGAGATGAGGTTCTTCCTCATACATAGAGCTTGAAGAGTAATTGGACATTCATTGTAGATATATTTACATTATAACCTTATCTGAATAGTATTACACATAATGTATTATTCTTTACACAGTCAAGATATGGTGTTGGTCGTGTTGAAACACTATATCTAAAGATATTTACAAACTGCTAGTCTCTAACTTACCAATCACCTCTGCAAAGTGGCACCAGAATTAAGGGATAAGATATAAGAAGGTCTGTTTATTGGCAACCGTGGCACTCTCACCAGTGTTTTTATTATTATTACTACCACTACTACCACGATGTGCTTCAGAGTGGGGCTGTGTTTGGGGTAGGGGTGTAGAGACTGAGCCTCAGGTGGGGGCAGAAATCCTGCCCCCCACCGCAGCCTACGTGTGGTGGTGGGAGCAGAAAAGCAATCCAACTGTGACCCGTCTGTCCCTTCACAAGTTGGGGCACACAAAGCTTGTCCCCTTGTGTTTTCTTCAGTGCTGCTAGGTGAGTCAGTCCAAACGTTAAACACCCAGTGAAATCCTTCCTCCCAAAGGCCACTGTAACATGGATTGCAATCGTACTGCCTCAGTTTGTGTGTGCTTCTTGGCAAGTATGGCCACAAAAACAAAAAACAAAACAAACAAAAAAAACCAAACAAAAACCTCACTATAAAAAGATGAAAAAGAGTAGTTATCTAATGGCACTTTTCAGGTAATACAGAGCTTTGGAAGGCAAAAAGACACCAGAATTTGTTTCCCTTTATCTGATTAATAATGGAATGAAATGTATATAACAAATCTACCTAGCATCCTGAAATATTAGGCTGCATGTACAACAAATCTACCCATCATCCTGAAATGTTAGGCCTGGGAGGACTGATATGCTCGTGTAACCAACCCACTGGTTCCACAATGTAGCAAAAGAAGCCATAGCAAAAGGAGAGAAGTAAAAATATAGGAGAAATTATTTCATTTGTTGTAGTAAATGATTCATGTCCAACTCAGCCTTGCTATAACATTCTTAGTCTTGGTTTCTTAGTGAATACTCTGCTAGTAAGGACAGGAATGAAAGGGAAAGGAGGGCTGCCTTACCATTGCACAGAGCATAAAATTAATCTGTGCATGTTGCTGCATGATATTCCACTACAAGAACATTCACTCTTTGCCATTATCTGCCGTTGTTTCTTATATGGCGATGACAAAACTGGGGAAAAAGAGAATTGATTTGGCTTTGTTTCACGCAAGGGTGTTTTTTTACTCCCCATTTAAAAGCCATGCAGAAAGGATTTATGGAACTTCTCACTCTACACAGTAATTTGGGCTTCAGTGGAGGGGGATCTGCATGCTAGAGAAGGCAGTATTTTGTGAGGTGGAAGAGTTTGAAAGCCAGCATTCACGGTGCCTGAAAGGCGAGAGAAACTGCACACTTGTAGCTGATGCACAGGCAACGTACTTGTTAAAGTGAGGAAGGAGGAAAGCTTTTTTGTCAAGACTGTGACAAAAGAAGAAAGATAGAGAAACGAGAAAAGAAGACACAGCAAATTGAGGACCATCTCTCAGCTTCCTTCAGGGGAAGATTTGCTATAATTTTTTTTTTTTTTTTACAAAAGCTTTCTTAAAAGTCTAAAGCTTTTCATGATATACAAGAACAGTAAAAGTGATACTGTATAGAAATCAAACCCTAGCAAGTGTCTGTAGACATGTTATATAAAACATCTGTAGACCCAGGGGTGAAAAAAAGCTTGCTTCTTTTTAGATTCTCAATTTCTACCACTTTCACTGCTGTCAGCTGAGAGTACAGAGCCATCTAGGAGGAGATCTTCTAATATCAAAGGCGATTAGATGCCAAATCTACTACCTGTCAGCAAACACCGCCCCACCCACAAACCAGAGTTTGTTTCCCTGCTGTTTCTTTCTTAAGACTTCAACTTCTCACAAGAAGGAACCTGATTTGTCAAAAAAAAAAGATTTTTAGGAATTATTTTAAGGGGAGGGAAGGAAAAAAAAAAAAATATCAGCAGTACTTTTCCTGTCCTCAAAGCTGCAACACAACAGCTTTTGCAGCATGATGAATGTGAGGATGCTTTACCTATTTGGTTCTGCAAGGCCAGTACCAGTGTCAGTTTTGGGTAACAGAAGTGGACAGGAGAGGTGCTGCCAGTGGAGGTGAAAAATTCAAAGTGTGCCACCTCAGCACCACAGGAGAAGCCAGGAGCTGTATCCCCAGGCAGCACTGGGGCAGCTGTTACATCCATAGGAATGAAAAACAGGGATCAAACTCCGTCAAAACTGGGGAAGGGGGCGGTGAGTTCACTAGCAAGCCCCACTGCAAAGCAGACACACGACACATTCCAATCCATCAGGAGATGAAACAAACAAACCAAAAGTGCCCATCTCCTCCTACCACTGTCCCAGCTGGGATGGCCAGGAGCAGCTGGGTCACCCCAAGAATTTCCTCACCTGTGTGTGGGCTGTTCTCATCACAGCCACACTTGCTAAAGATGCTTCCTCTTCTGAATGTTTTCCTCCATCAGAAAACCGTAAAACAAAGGGCTGGTAGGTTTAACACTTTCTTTTGTTTCCTTCATGCCTTGTGGGTGCCAAACAACTGATCCATGGGGTCCATTTGAGCATTTCTGTCCCCATGAGCATTTGTGAGGGAAAGAGAGAGAGAAGAAGAGGGAGAGAAAGAGAGGAAGAGAGAAAAGAAGAAAAGAAAAGAAAAGAAAAGAAAAGAAAAGAAAAGAAAAGAAAAGAAAAGAAAAGAAAAGAAAAGAAAAGAAAAGAAAAGAAAAGAAAAGAAAAGAAAAGAAAAGAAAAGAAAAGAAAAGAAAAGAAAAGAAAAGAAAAGAAAAGAAAAGAAAAGAAAAGAAAAGAAAAGAAAGAAAAGAAAAGAAAAGAAAAGAAAAGAAAAGAAAAGAAAAGAAAGAAAAGAAAAGAAAAGAAAAGAAAAGAAAAGAAAAGAAAAGAAAAGAAAAGAAAAGAAAAGAAAAGAAAAGAAAAGAAAAGAAAAGAAAAGAAAAGAAAAGAAAGAAAAGAAAAGAAAAAAAGAAAAGAGAAACGAAAAAAGAAAGAAAGAAAAGAAAAGAAAAGAAAAGAAAAGAAAAGAAAAGAAAAGAAAAGAAAAGAAAAGAAAAGAAAAGAAAAGAAAAGAAAAGAAAAGAAAAGAAAAGAAAAGAAAAGAAAAGAAAAGAAAAGAAAAGAAAAGAAAAGAAAAGAAAAGAAAAGAAAAGAGGAAAAAAGAAAGAGCAATCTGACTGATATAGATGTGTTTATTTGTTATAGACTATTTTTTATCAGCCAATGTTCACATATTATGCTATCTCTGAACAGATCCTCACGATTCTTAGTAAATCAAATGAAAATCCCAAACAGAAAGACGACTGACAGAAATTCTTCTTCGGTTTTGTCCTCACTGGAAAACAGATTTCTCAACATTCTTTCAGCTTTCTCCTTTCTTTCTTTCATTCTTTCTTTCATTTTTCTCTCTTTCTTTTTTTCTTTCTTTCTTTTTATTTTCTTTTTTTTTTTTTTTTTTTTTTTTTTTTTTAACAACAGATGTCTTTAATACTCAGAAAAGGTGCCAGTTGGATTGACATATCTTCAGGCAGCTGATGTCTCCCTGTAGAGTGAAGGAGGGCTGGCCTGTGACAGTACAAGTCACTCCCCATGAGCGGCCGTCATGACAGGTCCTGCTGCAGCAGGGTTACTGTCAAGGGTTGGTTGGGCCTTTTCAGTTTTAGCCTGTTTCTGGAAATAATTAAGAGGAAGAAAAAGAGAGGGCAAGAAGTGTTAACTGCAGATTTTTGTCATTGCTGTTTGTTTGGGTTTGGTATTTTTTTTTTTATTTTTTTTTTTTTCCTCATGAGTCACCTGCACAGTTTGCTCAATTTCTAGGTGAAACGAAAGTGGCCAGTGCAGCACATGGTGCGGATATGCTGCTGGGATCCTCTGGCCAAGCCCAAGGTGGAGATGTGGCAACACCATCAGCAGGGCCACCTGGGGCCTTGGGGGCGACGGGGCGCAGGTAGCAGCCGGGGAAGCCGGAGGAGGTACCCGGGGAGCGCTGCTCTTCAAGACCGACATCTACCTCTCGCAGAACTATCACTCAGAAGGGAAGTGAAACCTGGTGAACGTGGTTTGGGACACAAAGGAAAGACATGAGAGCTCGAAAGATGTTCAAACGAACAAATTATTTTGTGGCTCTGAAGGATTATCGCACTTTTTGTCTTACTGAGCCACAACCAGCTGAAGACCCAAGAGGTTCCCGGTATCTCAGGGCAGGCACTGCTTCGTCTCTGCCTCTGAGAGGGAGGGGGAAAACAGTGTCAGGAATAAATGTTGGCTCTGTGCCTCCCCCCCAGCTGCCAGTGAGCACAGCATGGACACAATCCCATGCAATATCTTGAATGTTAGATGATTGTTTTCCATATATAAAACCCATGTTGGTGTGTGTGCTTACATGCCTGTGTGCACATGCATAGGTGCATTATGTCATCTATTTTGACATTGTTTAATTGGTTGTGAATGTGGACGTACCATGGAAACATTTTTTCATTGAACTGGTACAAGGTGGAAACGCACAAGATTGTGTCCCGCCTGCTTTTATGATATACTATATCACACACTAAAATATCTTGTCCTTTAAGATCAAAAGTGTGGGTGCTGCTAGGGAAAAGTGCAACAAAGCTTCAAACTGAAGGTTTTTATTTTTCATGTTGTTTGTTTGTTTGTGTCATGAATACTGCCCCCCAAAATATTTTTTTTTCTGCATGGTATTTTAGGTGTCATCACACCCCAGGATGCAAAAGCGTAATTTTAATATATATCTGCCACTTCTTAACCTGTAAAAGTGACCTTAGCTGTTAGAGGAATTCAGCATTTGTGAACAAGTGACAGTTTCAAAGGTCAGAATAAAAGATTTGCACACCTGCTGGAAAACTGGGGTTAAAAGATAAAATAAGAATATTTCCAAACCTTGATTTCCCTACTTGAGTACGGGTACTATTGATACCCACAGCACTTGTTGAAAGAAATAAGCAGGTGTGTTTCGTTTATTAAACTTTTCTAAAGAAGTAAGATTTAGAAAATTAACAGATTTCATTTTATCTTTGTTTTTCATCTAGATTTTTTAGCACTGCAAGAGAATGAATGATTTTGAAATGAGCACGTAAGTCTTTCCCTTGACCTGACGAGGTAAGCCTAGTGAATGTAGTTTTGAAAGACAAGCAGCACTCAGTTTTGCAAGCACTATCATTGAGTAATTCTTCCTTACAAGCAGGAAGATGAAAATAGTGATAGTAAATATGGCTCAAGGCAAGTGAGGGTTGCAAAATTAGATCCTTGGCTGCATGGAGATACTTAGATATATTAGAATGAAATCACTAGGGATATAAAATCAATGAATGCATATTAAGACACATTAATCCTAAATTTAACGTGGCCTTAATTTACTGCAATTTAATCCTCCTCATTTTCACTTTCTGCTAGGTACTTGTACTTGGAAACATGAAAATTGTCATATTGCCAAAGTGCTTTGACACTGTGTTCCAGTGAGCTTGTCAAATGTAAAACTTAAGTCTGTGAGCCTAATTTTCCCATAATCTTGAAGGCTGCTGTTTTGAAGTGCATTTTGGAAGACTATAATGTGGTAGCATGAAATAACAGAACTGTTTGGTGTCCTATTTGGTAGGTGGCTTTCATTCTAGAAGGCGGTGTCTCAAGATACTGTCTATGCAGCAAACTACTTTTTTGGGTAACAAAATCTGTAGGTGTATCTTGACTAGTGCTTGGAAGTTAGAGTTACTAAGAAGGAGATACTAGAATATGTATAACTCACAGACAATTGCTGTTTTCATTTTGTCCTATCCACATGGTGCTCGGTTGTGCTACAATAAATATCAAATATTGAAATAGTAAATTCTTTGCCAGGCAGAAATATTCTGAATTTGATCTAGTGTGGAGTAGCAGATAATAGTTGAACTATACCCCTGCCAGGTCCCTACCCAGACTGTTTCAATATCTGGTTTTGTGTAATCATTGTTCTCCACTCTGCCTTTTTATTAGTGTTATCCCTTGGCTTACAGTGAAAATATTGCTCCCAGCTACTATAAAAGGGAATGGAGCCAATATCTTTTCCTCAAAGTAAACATCTTATCCAGGATACACCTGGGAAGGACTGTGGTTTCACACTAAGGGCTTAGGCAGAACTTGATCCATGTAGGTATGTCAGTCCATCATATTCTTTTCTTCAATAAATGAGGGTGAATCATCTTTTGTCTGGCCAAGAACACGGTCATCTAATATTAACCATTCATTCTCTGGAGCCTCAGCACAACTCTTCATCTGTGCATCCAACTTTAAAAGGATGTAACCTTCATTTTCCTAGTAATGACCTTGTTTCTATTCTTCAGCTGAGGCCCTTTGTTTGGCCACCATGGGGACTGACTGGATGAGACCTTCAAATTTACAACTTCATTTTATGTTCAACCTTTGTGCTCTGGACAAGTAAAGTACAAAAAGGAAGAAAAAGCTGATGAAGGTAAAAGACGTATCCACGGATGGATGTTATACAACAGACAAAGTGAGCAAAATTGTCTCAAAAGCTTTGGTTTACACATATGCTGAAGTAGTCTTGGGATGTACCAATCTCGAAAAGACCAACTTTTTTCACTTTTATCTTTACATGATGAAGGAATCACAGAACAAAATCCCCTAGAAGGGGACAAGAGGCAGACTTCAAATGATACACAGGTTAGGCAGTGGTTATGTGTTGAGTATAAGTACACTTTCAGAACTAATGCAGTTTTGGAAATGGTGGTGTCATAAACAACATAAAATAACTTTCATCATGATTTACTTAACATTAAGGTTCTTACATGACAGTGACAAAAAGTTTTAGACAACTCTGAGATTCAGAAACATTCTAACATGATTAACTTGGATTATGTAATGATCTTCCAAACTCTTATGCCTCTTCCACACAGTTATCGTTAAAATTCTCTTTTTTATTCCCCTAGATGAAGACATATTAGAGACAGGAAAAAACCCCAAACAAACAACAGCAACCAAAAAAAGAAAAAAAAAAAAAAAAAAAAAAACAACAAAAAAATACCAAACACCCAACAAAAAAGCCCCTCTACAAGTGTTTACACAGAAGGACCAAAAATCGTAGACTCCAGAGCCCTTCTTCAGAATACTCTCATAAAGCAAGGAACTGTGCCTCCAGTCCACATACTTGAATAATTCCTCAAACATCCCCACGTCCTCAAGATTAATTTTTAGTAATTAAAAAAATGTTTTTAAGTGTAATTTTCATGGGTGGAGCTGATGCCCCGTGTCAGGATTGCACATTCCGTAGAAGATCATAAAGTGCTATGGCATTTACGTTTTTAATTTAATTTGGAACTTCTCTCTTTTTATTATTATTTTTATTGTTGTTTTTACCTTGTAGCTCCTATGTTCTTGTAATGACACATAAGAAGGTGCTTAAAGGTCTTCTTGAAAGTAGCATTGCAGAGGGCATAACAAGCCGGGTTGATGGTGCTGTTGATATAACAGAGCCAATAACCTATGGTCCATACAGTGCCAGGGATGCAGGATGTGCAGAAGCTGTTGATGAGCACCATCACATTGTATGGGGTCCAGGTGATGATGAAGGCCAAAAGGATGGCCAAAATAGTCCTTGTCACTTTTTTCTCTCTAGAAGGAGGTGGTTTCTTTTTGGCTGGTTGCTTTGTCATTTTGACGATTTTCCGGGCTACGCTATTCTGCTTCTCCTCCCCGTTGGCACCTACAATCTCCACGGTCGTGTTAGGGGCACAGCAGTCACCCTTTTGGGACTTGGTGACTATCCTGATGCACGTCAGCTTTGAGTTCTCCGCTTTAAGATGGTCTTGGGAGGCAGAAGCCTGGCTGGCATCTTTGGCAGCTTTGTCCTCTTTCACGTTGGAAGCAACCACACTGACAGAGGTGGAGTCATTGGAGCTCTCCTTCTCCTCTCCTTGAATACAGTTCTCTGTCACAGTCTCTCCGGTGGTTTTTCCATTCTGAATTTTGCTGTGCTCTAACCCATCCCCACTGGTTGGGATGTTGTTATTGTTTGGTTTTACTATTTTACCTTGGACTAGGCTGGGGGAAACTGCATCTTGGTTTTGGGCAGCTTCCTTTTTCCCTTTCTTTATCCGACTCTTACTAGCTCGAGAGATTTGCCAGTAAAGGACAGTCATGATGATAACAGGCAAATAGAAGGCTGCAATGGCAGTGCCAAAAGTGACGGCAGCGTTGGAAAAAAACTGGATGTAGCAATCCCCATCTGGGACAGTCCTTCCTCCCACAATGAACTGCCAGAAGAGAATTGCAGGGGCCCACAGGATGAAGGACAGCACCCACGCAGCTGCGATCATCATGCCTGCCATCTTAGTGGTCCGCTTTACAGGATATGTCAGAGGCTTGGTGACACAAAAGTATCTGTCAAAGCTGATAATGAGGAGGTTCATTACAGAGGCGTTGCTGACCACGTAGTCGAGAGCCAGCCAGAGGTCGCACACCACAGGCCCTAAGGGCCAGTAACCTATCACAGTGTAGAGGGTATAGAGGTTCATTGAAAAGATGCCGATGATCAAGTCAGCGCAGGCCAAGCTGAACAGGAAATAGTTGTTGACTGTCTGTAGGTGCCTGTTGACTTTGATTGACACCATGACCAGGATATTCCCAATTATGGTGACTAGACTGAGAGACCCTGCTACCAGGACGATGAAAACCACCTCAACAGTTTTATAGGGGCTCTCCAAAGCCATCACATTTTCAGTGGAAGAGTTTATGTACGTTGAGTTATTCATTTCTGTTCTGCTAACAAGATACCCAGTTATCACTTAAGCCTGTAGAGGAAAGAAAACAAAACAGATACCGTCATGAAAATAGTCCCTTTGCCTTTAGGAAATGGACCCCAGAGAATCTACTTGGAAAGAGTTTAAAGGTAGAAGATGTGTTCAGAAGGACCAGTCAGCTCTGGCTAACAAAAAACCTTACAACATATAATACCCCTTAAGGAATAACAAAGCATCAAGATACCGCTAAATATGTGACAAAGACACATTTGAATCCAGGTCTAGACTTTTAAGGTCTCAAATTCATTTTTCTCTTTGTCCTGCTATAAAACTACTATTGACCTGAAAATTTTGGAACTGTATCTGCATATTGATTTCTTTTCCTACTCACAAAATAGTTCACTTTGCTCATTTCAAACCCTATTCCAAATAAAAAAATCCAGTCCTGAGGCTATGCCATTCTTGTAATCCAAGGTGAAGATGTGATTTACCAGGAGCCAGATCACATGGAGGTGACTTATGTTTCCATCTTTCCTTCATGTCCCACCTGGGTATGCTTCTGAGAGGTTTATGGAGCAAGTTTGTGTAATATCTCCCCCTCATTTTCTTACACTGCAGTTACTTTTTTTGTCAACACCTGCAAAGATTTTGGCGCTGCATCAAACTGAAGTTATTAGTCTGCCAATGAACAGAAAAAGGGTAGGTCTGTTGAAGTCAGTAGAATTAGTAAATTCACCTCAATTGATCATCTGGCTATCTAGTTAGATGCGTACAATTTTTATTTTTATTTATTCCATTAGAGTTATTTTTTACATTTTTTTGACTATTTGTACCTGGAAAAAAGGTTGTTGTTTTTTGGTGTTTCTTCTGTTTGGTTGGTTGGTTTTGTTTTGTTCTTGGTGCTTTTTTTTTTTTTTTTTTTTTTTTTTAACTTGCTGAGGTTATCTCTTGATGTTAGCTTGCTTGTATTTTCTCATTTTTTTCAAATCATAATATTTTCAATCTGTATCACATAAAGCTACCACAAAATGTCTGAAATGGATAGCAGGGCAATGATAGAGAAAGAAACAGATAAAGATCAGTTCTGTTTATACACAGCAATTCTTTTTGTGCCCTGTATAGCCTACCGGCATTACTCAATAAATAGTAATTAAACAACTAGAAATATACGTTTGATAGAAGACCAAGAAAACCACACAAGCTTTTGCCTTCAGGATATGTACTATCCTTTTGTGCATCCTCTGGAAGTCAATAGAATGCACTGGAATTGTACAGCCAGTCTCTGAGTGCTCATTATTTATGAGCTGTGTTCAAGGGATTATTGAGGCACGAAGGCCAGATGTGACAGAGGAGTGAAGTTGTTTCTAATTGGAATATTCTCCTTTTTCCACCACCCATAGGACATCATTTCTTTAAGAGAGAGCTTCTAAAAGTGGTGGTGCAATCAAAGGAAGACAAAAAATTCAGTTATGTTTGGCTCCTTTATACATAAGGGATTAATGAATCCTCCTCTGGCCCCTGTGACTAACCTGCTGATGCAGACATATACAATCCATGTCACTTAAACAGAGCAATGCATTTTCAGTATCATTTCAACACCGCATATTTTCTTTCAGATACAAAAGGAAGAAGATGATGCAAAATGTCAGCATAGCAGCAAAACCCCTTCTGACCTCTAAGAAAATAAACAAGTCTGCCTCAGTGGAAAAGTCAAAATGCTGTACCAGGGTAAAGGTTTTCTGTCTGAGGCAAGTTTGAAATCTTGTAATTTATAGTTTAAGAAACATAACTGGCAGAATGTGGGGCTCAGGCATTTGCCTTTGCTTTTAAAAACAGCTAAGATTTGTTTGCCAATTCCATGTTGGAGTGAACACATGGATAAATAGAGGAACATAAGGCTAGACAGACATTTTTTCCTACTATCTATTCACAGGTACATCCCTAAAATCCTTGGGATCAGGTTCAAGAGAACAAAACTGTGAGGAGGAATGCTTTAATTAAATACGTGCTTTGTACAGTAAGAGTAGGCTGAGTGGAATATAACAGAATTTATACTCTGTGCAAAAAATAGACAGAAGAATGGCCCAGACATCTTTAATATATAGGACTGTCATTTCAGCAATTCACTGTGCTTTTCACCCAGAGCCTCGCAGCTGAGCAGCTGGCTATCCAGTTAGATGTGTAAGATAACAATTTTTTGGGACAAGCTAAGAACTTCTCCAAAGCAGAGTTGTTTATGAACATTCTTAACAGAATGCATTTTTGATGAAAAACCAAAATAACTCACAGACATCAATGGATTTCAAAAAGATTCCAGCTGAAAAGACTTTGTGATCCAGGGCTCCGCAGCTACCTCTGGTGACAGAGTGAGAGGGGGAGCAAGAGGGAAGGGAGAGAGAGCTGAAAAAATTGTGCTTTATGATAAGAAAAAAAGTGTTTCTCTGCAATTGTACTTTGACAAAATGTTCAGAGGTTTTGTCTTCATTCCACTGAAAAACTAAAATTAATTTTGAAACCTTAAAACTTGTTGCAAAACCAGATTACCATCTCCCAGCTAAATTTATTCCTAAGACTTTTCCTCTAAATTTTTTACCCAGTTTCAGTGGAAATATTGGTAATTCAGTATAAATTCCCCTGATATTATTATCTGGGAGGCAAGGAGCTGGATGAAAGCTAAAAGCTAATTTTACTTGTTAAGAATAGGATTTCACTGTGTTCTTCTGAATGGAAGCAACGCTGAGGAGTCCCTTTCCCAGTGATCTCTCTTTGCACAAAACATTCCTGAGGTGAGAAGGCTGGTAGTTCTGGACTGCAAGTTACATTGACAATTATGACTTTCTCAGGTATGGAGAAACATACCTGCTATCACTTTCTCCAGTAGAATCTGCCTTTGCCTGCATCAATATGACTCTGAAGTGAACCATGTGTGACGATGAGAAGGTAAAGGGCTGGAGAAACATTTGATTTCAGCTGACATATATCACTGCTGCTGATAGTACTACTATTATATGAGCAGAGACAGGGCTGTGCATGCTTCCTAACCCAAGACCCCCTGAAATCTGCTGGAGGCTGTTCTGTTGGCTCCAGTAAGGTTTGAATCAGGTCTTTAGTGAGGTTTCTGTTTCTTATTGTGGCTGTTTGCTCCCTTGGTACAGGAGTGTCTGCGGATTACTTCTGGTTTTGTCATGCCACGGAGCCCATCTCTCCTGCTGGAGAGGCAGTTGTTATGGGAACAGATGTTATTCCTCAGGCAGACCTCCGGGGCAGAGGCATTTTAGGGTAATATGACCTCCTGTTATGAGAAGTACCAGATCTTATTCTTGAGCGAACAGAGCTCTCCTCTGCAAGCCCATGGGTGTTTGTGTGAGTTGCACAATATGGCACTGACTCCCGTGGGCTACCTTAATTCATCCTGCTATGCTAAGTGCCTTCTTGCTAAATAGAGAATACCCAGGAAAGGAATTTCTCTCGTGACCTGAAAACCAGCCAAGTTCATTTTCTGAAATATATTTTAAAATATATATGACTTTGTGAAATGCAAACACCATTATCACTTCATGGAAAATGTCCAGAGTCAAGAAATCCACATATAAAATAATTCATTGTTTGGTATTTGGTATGTAGTTGGGAAACATTGCCAGTGCAGTAGCTTTTCCGTGCTAAAGAATTCACAGTGCTGAAAATCACTCCCTTCCCTTCTGTTGACTAGGCAAGGGTTTGGGGCAGAACTAAGGGATTTGGTGGACTACATAATATGCACGCTTTTGGCCTGGTGTGATGCCAAGTCTTTCTGCAGCGAGTAGTAGACAGGCAAAAGCAGGACACAGGTGGGTTGGCTTGGACCCCCGTTACAACTTGCAAGGAGAAACATAGTCCAGGCTGGCACAGGCTGGAGTAAACCTTCACAGAGCCACGATCTGCTTCACTTTCCTTCATTTACCTCCCTGGCAGTCACTCGGAACAGTGAAACAGAGAGCTGATGGGTGAGGTCTGCAAGGTGGTTCACTGTAAAAGCGAACTGCAGTGAGTGTGAGGAAGCAAAATGACGCGATTGGGGGTATTCATCCTATTCCATCGCAGACCCTGAGGAGGAGACCTGCGGAAATGGGAGGGCAAGGAGAAGGGGCAAGGACTGTCTGTCACCCTTAGGATCACGAACCTCAAACAGGAGGTACTTAGGTAGAGTATCCTGCTGACTGTGCTCCCCACTTGCTCCGGCAGGATCCTCTCCTTTTGGTGCAGATGAACCTTGTAGCAATCATTGTAATTTTAAGTTTAGGATACAGCTCCAACATTTGTCACAAAACAGACTATGGAAATGTTGTGTATATTGAAAAAAAATGCCTGATATGCCATGCCTGTCAAAGTTTGTTAGGCAAATCCTTCCTCTGTATTTTACATATTGCCAATTTAAATATGGTAAGGATTTAACGGCTTCTTTGAATTCTCTGAAACCGTATAAAGGTCAAGACATGAAAGAGGAAACAAACAATCTGTACCTGAAACTTGTAGTTGTGATTTAAATGGGATTACCCAGAAACATATGTGAATTGCTACTCTTGGCACTTTTCAGCATTCAACTCTCAAACAAAAGTAAAATATATTTTTTAACTTCTCCCTTTTGATCCAGTTCCTCTCCAGTCCAAACCTATGTAAAATGGATTTTATTTTTGATGTATAAGTAATAGATTTATTTTTTTTTCCTGAACTGATTTTGATACTGAACAGCACTATTTTTGATTCTAAATTCCTTCCTAGCACCATTTCAAGTGTGAAAAAAAAAAAAAAAAAATAAAAAAGAGAGAAACAAAATCCCTAAGCCTTTGACAAATATACTAGGCAAATTAGTCAGAATTTATTACAGATTTTAAGACCAATTATATATCTAGACCAGGCTTTTGGTAAAAAATACTTTTCAGAAAATCCCCAAATACCAGAAGACTAAAATCTGCACCACATGGGTTACCTTCTGCAATCCATTTGAAACTAGAAACATCTTTGCAAAGTGTTACTGCCTCGGTGTGGTCCATTCTTCTTATTTTCATGCATTTTTGATTTTCTCAATCAATACATGTCCTACAAAAAAAAGATATTCTGTGGGTCTGTCTGGAACTAGTTTTCCCCATTTCATCATGAAGGGTACCTAAGGGCAAAATAAACAATTTCTGCACATTTTTGAAACAACAACTAGATCAGAGTCATAGAACATCAACAAAAACAAACACTGTGCCACTAACAACAGCTGAAATAAAGCAAAAATAAAAATACTTCCCCAAAACAGCAGGGTACTGTACATGAGTAGGTGGCAGTGCTGGCATCAACATTGCTGCCTCAGTGCTGTTGTTAGGGTCTGAGTATCTGTACAGCTATTAACTACACCTTGCTTGATGCTGTTCTTACAGTCTAAAACTGGTAAATATAGTGTCATGAGCCCAACTGGTTTGTATTCAAAATCACACAAGGAAAGGTATAGACAGTATAGAAACAAAACAAAACAAAACAAAACCAACCCACAACCGAAAACCAACCAAACAAAAAACCTCCCCAAAACCCCAAAAATGACCATCAAACATTAATCTTTCTCATTTCAGGAAATAACTAAAAAGGAGCAGTTTTTTCTCAAAGGCCTGGATAATTATGTATTTCTACTATATTAGTACTGTTGTTGCTACTATTGCTATTATTAAGCAGATAGTCACACACCAGTACTAGGGCACTTAATCTGTTATCTTTCTGTAAGTATAGTTTTGGTTGCAGATATGTCTTTGTTTTTCAGGACCTGTGCAATCAAGAGGGAATTTGCATTCTGTCTTTGGGCAGCTAACATCATTAAAGGCTAAATTCTGCATCTTAATGCATTGGAAAAACCTGAAAAATATGCTTATTTACATAGTTTGTTTCATGACAAATGGTTTCATCTGACTGGTTTTGATCCATAAGAAGGGATATTTACTGCCTGGACTAGAGGAGATGACGCTTTCACATAGGTGTCTCCTTATTCTTTCTAGAAATGTATATAAAGAACCTTTGGTCCCAAACCATCAAGAAAATAACCAAGTCTCTTGGGGAAGTTGTGGTAAGGCTTTCCTTTGCACTCTGGAGGAACCGAATAATATAGATGCCCATATGGTAAAAGTGACTGAAAACACTGGTCCGTATCATTCCTTCTGAGTCCCACCTGCAGCACTGCGCACCTCAGCTTATCGGAGACGCTCACGTGCTGGAGGGAACTTGCAGAATGGCAACTGAAAAGTCAAAGAGTTTCACCACTGCATTTCAGACAAAATAAATTGTTCAGGACACTTTTGCCGTGGAAAGCTAGAACAGGATAACATTTTTTTTTTCCCCTTTTTTCAGGTAAGTTGTGAATGGGTGGTGATGGTGGGGTGTGTGTGTGTGTGTGTGTGTGCGGTGGGCAGCAGAAAGAGGGGGGGCCTGGAAATCTAGGAACTATGATCCGAAGAACTTTATAGCCCATAAATCAGAGAACAAAGTAATTTTTGGTCTATGGAGTATGAAAAGCAAAATGGAGCTCTTATTGAAGTATCCCACAGTTCTCTCCAGAGGGTTGAGTTAAATGGATAGGATCTCCATCTAGAGGCACAGAAAGGCAGCTACCAAATAAAGCAGTCACTACCAGCAGTAGGATGGCTTCAGTATGTGTTGAAAATATAGATACTTAATTATCTCTGAGGTAGAGTAGCCTCACATTTTATTAAAATTAAGGAGCAGAGCTATAATTTGATGAAATTCTGAAACCGTTACAGTTAGATATTTTTGTAACCAACACTCTGAATACTGAGGTATCATTGGACTGGGGTAGCCACTGCACGGACACACGTGCTCAGGCCTCAGCTTATCCACTTCAACTAGTATGATTTAGTCATCACTTTGGGCACGATCCAACTCAAAGTGTTGTTTCAGAGTAGGTCACAAATGGGTCAGAAAGGCAGCCGGTGTCATCAAAAGGCAATAAAACTAGGGACTAGCTCATGCCACATACATTTCATCAGCGGACCCATGCTGATTTCCACTTGCAGAGGTTATAGGCTAGCTGGAAAGGGGAGATCAAAGTGACAGATTTCAGTAAGTCACTTCTCTTTTCCTCCTTGCGCTGCACCACTGTTGCTGGAAGTTGACTAAAGCTCCTCAGACCAGTCAATCCCAACAAGGCAAGTTTTATCTGACTATAACTATCTGCTTCGAGCACTTTAGATAAAATACTCATACCACAAATTATACCTGTCCTACACCATGAGAAAGGTTCCCCCAGCAGAAGAGTGATTTAAGCTTCTGTTAAGATTAAATTGAAAATCATTAGATCCCAGGATATATTCTCTGAAGGAACAGTGCCATGATAGGCAAGTACTCCCTCAGCAACCTGGCATGAATTGGAGGCACAGTACTTCATTGTCCTCGTATCAGCTATCACGCCTGTGCTATTAAACAGAAAAACCTTATGAGAGCTACTCAAAGTCCCCGAGCGACAAGCGACAAAGCTAGTGAGAGAGGGTTCAGAAGGCTGACTGAAACCAGCTCACAATTTGTTCTGAATACCTTGAGCTAATGCATAACAGAAATGCATATCTTATTTAAAACAGGCACAGGTAGATCTATTAAAAAAAAAAAAAAAGCCAACACAAACAAACCACAAAATGAACAAGAAACTAAAATCACACTCTTTCTGGTTTTTCCTTGTTTAAGTGATTTTTTTTTTTTTTTCTGTTAAAGCCTGAAGGAATATTGATAATGAAATAATAATGGAGAACTATAATACAGTACAGGGGGGTTCTCTCAAAGAGGAGTTTAACCCTCTCGACATACCAGTGAGTCCAGCAAAGGTGCTGTGATATTTCAGTGAGTCTCTACAAATCTCTCCAAGTCATGGATGTCCTTTTGGGACTCTGAATAAACCCATGGAGACTCTCACTGTTCCTCAGAGATTTTGCAATCTTCAGTAGTGTCTCTGACAGGAATATTAACATACTGAGGGCCCAAAGGGACTCTTACTGAAGTTAAAGAAAATCATTCCTTTTCCCTTGGTTGGAAAGGGTGTTATCACGTTGCTTTTATCAGTGATTTTCTTATTCACTCAGTGATCTAGCAGACTCACTTACGATACCTCTAGATGATCCTTGAACCTGCTTTGGAAAGTACCCAGTTTCTTTACTCAGCAAATGCTTTTAAAATTCTTGTTAAGTCCATCATGATCACTCTTACATGAAGTTCTCAAGAGCTTGAAAATCTAGTCTGTTCTGCTTCTGTGTCCATTAATCTTGAGGATTTTTACACATCTTCCATCTTACTTAACAGCTTACCTAAGATGTAGATTAGAAGCACAGAGAAGAAAGCTGACTCAGATATAAAGTGAGTTGGCTCAAATTCTTTGCAAGAATTTAAGCATATATATTGAACTCAAGTTCAAACTTGTTTCTGAGAGGGCAGCTAAATCTTTTTGTGTCCATATTTCTGCAGACTGCATTTAAGGCTGTGACAAGTAAATAATGAAAGAACCTGATTAGTTCTTTACCTTACCAGAAAGGAGTGGTAGCTAAATTACCAAATCAGAATCCATAATTCCAAGCCCATTCTGCAGTCTGAGAGATGTTTGTGAAAGATGGAAAGATGCTAACATTATTTAACAAGATGTTTGTAAAATCTCAAATGAAGTGTTTGCTATAGCTAATTATAAACATGTTGATCACAGCTATGAATGTTTCCTGTGAGCCTGCATGATCATCTCCCATTGTGTGGATGGAGAACTTCAAAGATTACATATTCCCTACCAAAGAAAGGAAATATTTATTTAGGAGTTTTTCTGCAGTATTTATCTTCACAGTTACTACATTATTATAGGCTCTCTAAGTCTCTGACTGTGTTATGTTTCACTAAATGACTGCTACCTACTTTAATTACATAGATTGTAGTTGCAGAGTAATTGCATTTTTACTCCACTACAGGTTTAAGAAATCCGTGTCTAATTCTGACTCTGATGCATGGCTCCAGATACTGGTCTCAACACACTGCAGTTACACTTAACAATGTAAAATACCTTAGCTTTGCATATGAATAATTCACCATGGCATTAAGAGGAGCTCCTATCGTATATTAAACAATAACGTAATGTTTAACAAGGTTAACTTAATAACAAGAAACTGGGGGACTTGTCTCTGACCATGTACCTTCTGTTAAAAATATATTCAGCATCACTGGGCCAGGGAGACTAAAATGCATAAGCAAATATTCTTAAGCTCTCTGCTTATTTTGATTGTTAAAGAGATATTGCAAAGGCTGTTCACATCAAACTTTCACCTCCTTGCATGTTTACAAAAAGAAAATAATGGGAACATTTGAAATGCAAGGTTTCAGAAATGCTAAATGGGATTATTTGAAACCAAAATTATTAAAAGCGTGAGGGGCATTAACTAAGGATAGAGAAGAGCAGGCAATTATTGTATGCATAAGTCTGCACTGTGACGCATGAAAACACTACACAGAATATTGTCCTTAGTTGCAAAGGTATCAGCTCAGCTTCTCCCTCATGGGAGACAGTTTAGTATGATTACTAAACACAAACCCTTATGTCCCTGTCACAGGAACTGCTTGGACACAAGTATGTAGAGAAAATACTGTTATTCCACAGGGGGGTTTTGCAAACTGATCTTGTCACTTTAGCAATGAAGTCTTTGAGACACATAGCTTCCACAGGGTGATAGTGTTGAATATATTGATATGCCTTACATGTTTTATTCTAACTCAAAGATGAGTTAAAAATAAATAAATAAGTAAGTAAGTAAGTAAGTAAGTAAGTAAGTAAATAAATAAATAAATAAATAAATAAATAAGAAGAGAGTCTTTTGAGACAAATAGGTTGATTTTGAAATTCAGGCTTCTAGAGACTGTGTCATTACATTTTACTGCACAGGAACCTCTTTCACGTCATGGCAGAAGCACCATGTCAGCTTCGCCAAGACTGTTACTAGAATGCCTTGACTTACATGAAGTCAGTTGCTCTCCCATTTCTGGTCTTAAGGATTTGAAACTGTTTTTATTAATGTCCTGAAAATCCATAATTA